AAAAAAAAAATTGAAAACATTTTTTAGGAATGTTTAATTAGAGTAACTTTTTTCCCCTGTCACGAGCAGAAGTATGAATGTGTTTTCATTTTTTTTTCCCTTCATTTGAAATGTTCAAAGCTGAATAGAAGCCAAACGTAATTAACTATTAATAGGATTTGAAGTATTACTTATAGAGTGTTTTCTGGGATTAAAATAGAGTACTGGGAAGGATTTCAGCTCTGGAGGAAAGGGTGGGGGTTTTTTTTTGTACCAGACAGAGAATTTTACTTGTGTTTGGAGAAATATCTGTGACTCAGCACATTTAGTAATTTACTTTACTAATTTACTTTACATCAGCTTGTTTTTTGAGTATTCTGGAGTCCAAAAAGAGCATATTTAGGACTGTTACCATATGAAATACTTTTTGTCTCTTGGATCCATTTTTTTAGCCCCCTGGGATGTATGTCTTGGTAACATCCATGCACCAAACAGGTGTGTTTGGAAACTTTAGAGTCATGTTCAGGTTTCCTTTGGAAATCTGGGTTAATAGATAAGATGTACGTATTTGATAGAAATTATAAAAAATTGATGGACACATTTATCATCCCTGCCTGTGTCAGGGGACTGGAATGAGAAGGGCTCTATGGCCCCTTCCAACCCAAACCATCTGAGAATCCTGTGATTTTGTGATTTTATGATTCTGTGATTTTTAAGTTCTGTGCACTTTGTGGTTTGATTTTTTTTTTTTTAATTGCAAAATTTAGGTGTTGGACAGGTCTAGAAACAGAATGTTTCCAGTTTATTTTACTTTCTAAATGTCGTATATTAGATATGCCTGGGGTTTGGGCTGCCTTTTTTTTAACCCTTTCGGAGGAATTTCTGTCATTGCTTTCACATAGGGTAGAACAATGTCAAGCCCTTTCACAGTCTCAGAGACAAGTTTCCATGGGCTGAGAATCTCCTGAGTTGCATCTTAATGGAATCATTTTCATCCTCTTACCAAAGAACGTGGTGGTGTTGGGCAAATTCCTGTTCTGCTCATCAGCAAGGGTGAGACTGTAGGTATTAAGACTTTCCTAAGAGTAAAAGCATATTTCTGCTTATCAAAATGTATAGAGAACTGAATTAGTGCAGGTTTAAAGGGGTTAATATGTGGTTTTGTTGAGTACAGTACCTTGAGCATCCTCAGAGAACTTCCCTGGTACCAAACAGATGGATTCTCAGATCACACGTGGGTACATTCCTTCTACAAACATCTGCTGCTTTAAGAAAGAATGGTACGTGATCATGGTGGTAGTAAACATATTTACTACAAAACCTAGTCAAAACAGGACAAGTAGATTCATTAACAGAGAATAAATAGCAGGCCTGTTAAAGAAAGCAACCACAGAGATTCTGTCTGCGGGGGGATGGTCACAGCTGGGAAGTTACTGTCTGCACAAGTACAGAGAGAGGGGGGAATTGGGAGTGATCAAGTTTAACTGATTCCCAGTTACTCCATATCTTGGCAAAAGGTTCTGCTGAAGCCTGGTTTTCTTCTGTGATACCAACACGCCTATTTTCACTCTAAGATGTGAGAGGCTGTTTTACATCCAGAGTGTGTGTGTGTTAAGTGGGTATAGTTCAGCTCACAGTGGAGTCCTCAAAAACATCAGCAAGGGAGGCCTCTCTGTCTCCAGATCCAGCTGGATTTCCTCCCAGAGCTGCATTGTCATGCACTCCATTGTCATGGAGAGACCCAACATGTGTCATCTCCCACTGGATTTAAGTATCTTCTGCTTGGATTCAGTGTTTAGGGCTCTCTTTTAGTTGTTTTTGGATGTTCAAAGACCTGCAGAGCCATCAAGTAACCTGTACAGCTCCCACTTCAAAGCATGTGCATCACAGTCCCTGCCTCACAAATGGAAAAATTGCAGCTCAGGACACAGAAAGCTGAAATAAAGGAGTGGAATTGCCTCTGGAAAAGCACAGTGAGCCCAGTCAGTGCCTACCAAGTCATGGCAAAGGCTTCCATGATCTCCAGGCTCTGTGTGCTCTGCAGCCTTTCCCCATTTGCAGCAACCAGTCTGTAGCAGTTCTTCACCTCACAAGTGTCCTGGTGTGTTTGATTTAAGCAGTTTAAGGTTCTTTGTAGGAAAACCACAGCAGAAAACACTTCTAACCCTTCCAAATTTGTATGAGTCCGTTTCAGGTTGGACATCAGGAAAAATTCCTCCCTGAAAGGGTGGTCAGGCATTGGAAAGGGGCACCCAGGGCAGTGGAGGGGTCACCATCCCTGGCAGTGCTCAAAAACTGAGTGGCTGTGGCACTTGATGGTATGGGTATATGTAGTTAAATTCATTCCAGGTATTTGATGTTTGAGAGAGGTGTGTTTCTGGGTTTTTTTCTGGAATCTCTAGTTAGAGACACTTCTTAGTGGCTTTTTTGGAAGAAAACACACTTCCAGGAGATACTTCAAATCAATCTGCCTTAAGGATCTTTCTAATTAGTGAGTTTTGATGTTACATAATGGAGTGTTTCTTACAGCTTTTTCTTGGTAACCAGTTGGGGTTGATTTGATTGTTTAAGTGTGTATATGATATAAATAATAGATGTAGATATAATATAGATATAATATGGATATAGATATATAGAGTTGGCAACCAGAGCTTTTGTTGAATTAACTTTGGACCCAGCAAGTGAACCCAGACTGGAGAGGCTGAATATCCTGTGATATAAGTGAAAGCCAAACCAGGCAAATAGTGACCTGTGGTGCCTGTTCCAGCCTTGTTGGTCGGTAACAACACTGTCATTCCAAAACCAGGTAGGGTAGGAGGCTCCACTGGGTCCTGGCACATCAGTCACCCCGCAGAGGCTGCACTTGGCAGTGCCCAAACCCTGCTGCTGATAATCCTATTGAATCCTCAAAGCCAGGAGAGCACTTGGAGCAAACAGGCTGGAGCCTAATCAGTGGGAAAGGACACACTGGGATGTATCAGGACCTCAGCATCACTGTGGGAAAAGTCCATTTGTTTAAAGAGAAGGGAAAGACCTGACACCTACCACATTAAAATGGATTATTTCATCAATAGGTTAATAGAAAACCAGGCTGAGAGTTCACTCCTGCTCACACAGCCAGACTCAAACATGCCATTAAAGTGTGAAAAATGGAAAAGGGACTGGGAAAGGGTCTCTGTGCACTGCAGACCATCTTCCCTTCAGAGGGGTGCCAAACCTCGATTTTTCCTATTTATATGTAAATGTTTTAGAGGGAAAACAAGTTCTCTTGGGCAATTGTGCCTCTGTAGGTGCTGAGACTTGTTAAAATGAAAGGTTTTTTTCAGCTTGAAGGATGCACCCAGTGAAAACACTTTCAGATTTGATGATGTCACTGCGAATCCAGTCCTCCTTTTCTGTATATGACATAAAAGCCTGCAGATGGCTTTATTAAAACCTCATATAGCTTAACAGCCTTAGTTCTTCAGCTGAAAACCAGGCTTTTTGTTAAAGATTGGAATGACTTCTTGTCACTGTTCCTTTTCCCTGGAAGCAACCGTTTGGTCTGACTTTTGTGGGGCATTCAAAAAGTTCCCTCATAAATACAGAAAGAAAATTTTTAAATTATTGTATCCCAGTACTCGGTATGTTGTGTGATGTCCCTGTCATCCCAAAGGGTGAGGAGCATCTGTGGTGGGAGAGGGGAGGGTCTAAGGTCCCTGAGGAGACCTCTGAGATCGTTGAGTCCAACCATTAACACAACACCACCGTGTTCACCACTAAACCAGGTCCCCAGGGGCCACAGTCACACTTCCAGGGATGCTAATCCCACCACTTCCCTGGTTTTTCAGTTGCTGGCAGTGCTAGCAGTGTCCTGTTGTACTTGGATGTTTCATGCAGTTGCTGTCTGATGAATCTCAGCCTAAACATATTTTTGATTGAACATCCTTCTCATGCTGGGATTTCACTCTTGAGGCAAAATGCGTCGATTTTAAAGAAGGTGAAAATGTGCTCTTCCCTAATGAGCACAGGAGTGGAGTGTTTTTGAGCAATATTTTCTGCTAATTGTGAAACAGCAGCCAGGAACTCAGAGAATATCAAAGTTTGAGTCAATTCTAATAAAATGGGGATGTTACTGTTCTGTGTAAAGGATCAATTTTATTTTTTTTTCCCTTTCCAAATAAAGACCTTGATTTTGCAGTGATTTGCCAGGGGAGAAGGAAGGGAGGACCACAAACATTGATTGCATCAATGTCTGCTTGACACTCTTCAGAATAATTAGGTGATGCCCAGAGAAGCTGTGGCTGCCCCAGCCCTGGATGGGGCCAAGTTGGACAGGGCTTGGAGCAGCCTGGGCTAGTGGAAGGTGTCCCTGCCCATGGCAGGGGGTGGGACTGGGTGGGCTTTAAGGTCCATCCAGCCCAGGCCATTCTGTGGTTCTGTGATGATTTTAATGCCTCTGAGCTCAGCACTACAAATAGCATTTGTTGTTAAGAGGATTCAAGGTCATTACATCATCACTTCAATTTTTAAAGGCGATGATGTAAAAAGGAAGTTTAAGGGTGAACTCCAGGCACCAAGTGATCCCTACAGGCTTTTGGAGGAAAAGGAGCTCTTGTCAGGCTGTTCTGTCATGAATTAAATCGCATTTTACAGTAGCTGTTTTGTCTAGTCTTGTATCCTTTGCACAAATACTTCCTGCCTTTTTTTACTTCTCCTGGTCTGTTTTTGTCTTATTCCAGTAGCAGATCCATTTAATCTTGTCATGTCACATTGTAGAGACTGAAAGAAAAATCCTTCTCAAGAGTTTTTCTGTCTGGGCCGTGGATTGGAGAGGCTGAGTGGTCCTGTGTGCATTTTCTGTGTGGAGCTCTTCACTTGTTAACAGGCTCGTGCTTGTATTTTACTTCACATGCTTTTTGATGTTTCTTTTCTCCCCTTTTTCATTGATTTTCTTTCTTTTTTTTTTTTTTTTGGTCCCCTTCTTTTTCTTTATTTTTATTCTCTTTTTTTTCTCTTCCCCTCCTGCTCTCTGGACGCAGCCAAACGCAAAGCTTGGAAACTAAACCGTGTTGGTAGCCTGCGAAATATTTACAGCAGCAGCAGCACCAACACCGAAGGTAACAAACCCACCCGCCCCAGATGGAAACCTCCTCTCTTCCCCCTTTTTTTTAACCCTCTTCTCCAAAACTTCGTGCTCCTTGCCTCTGTCCCTTCCCCAGTGTGGGCATGGAAGTGAGCTTTGCCCCGAGCATGCCTGTCCCACCCGTGTTTGCAGAGTCATTCCACCTGGGCTTTCCGTCTCTCTGGTTGTGCCTTTTACTTTGCCATTTGTGTTCCTTTCAGCTTACTTAAATCTTGACCTTTCCCTCTAGTCGTGGAGTGGTGATGTTTAAATTACTTCAGGAACCCATTTTCTCCTTTTATTTTTTTTTTTCAGGAGATACATATATATTTTCCCTTTCTCCGTGTGGGCACTCAATGTAATATTTCCCAAGTTATTACAGTTTTTAAAAGTGTTAGTATCAGGTGTAATGATCTGTAGCCAAATACAATAGTGTGCCGTGACATTTAAGTAACAATCTTAATTTGTTTTGTGCAAGCCTTCTCCATAATGCTCTTTGCAGCTCTAATCCAGAGGCGAGACAGTGCCGGGTCATTTGCATGTGCTGCTCTTGCTTGTAAATTCTGGATATTGTTGTATTTCTAAAGGTCACCTGGTGCCAAAGTTCACAAATTGACTTACATTGCTTTTTTTCCCACCCAAGACAGCCGTCATGCCTTTTGTATAATAGCACATGGAATTTTATATATTTATTTCCCCCTCCCCACACCTCCACCTTCGTTTGAACAACACAATTATAAACTGCCTTTTTATATATATATTTTTTTTTTTTATTATTACAAATGTCAAAGGTCAGAATTACTTGGAAACCAGGCAAGGAGAGGGGGTGAAAAAAACACTCCAGCACCACCATCTCCAGCAGCATGGAAGAGGGATGGAGTAAGAAACAGGGAATGCAAAATAGGTCACAACTCAGTAATCTCGCTGGAAGGGAGGGGGATTTTTTTTCTCTTCACTTAAGTGCAAACCAAATGGGTCAAGTAATGGCGAGCGCCTGCCCTAACACTAATTGACTTATTTTGGAATGATTATAACTGTAATATTTTTCTTAATGTCACTGTTTTCTGGGCTGTTGATTTTAGTGATTGCCAAGCGGTGGCATTAAATCTCTTGTAAATTTTAAATTGCGAGCTATTTCTGTAAACAAGTCCCTCTGTTCACATCCTGGTCATTAACCTTTGGTGATTTATATCACCCTCCTTTTTTTGCACAATTACAGCTAGTTGCTCTCCCTGCCAAACAAAGTGTGTGCAGGAAACAAAACTGGGATTTTATTCCAGCTTGTTAAGGCAGCTTTTTTAAAGTGTAATTTTATTTTGTTTCTCAGTCTAAACATAACATCATTACCTTTCAGAGCTGTCTTTTTTGTTCTTTTCTTTTCAAAACATAATGAGAGAAAATGATTGTCAGATAGTCATAAGATTTGATTGGGTTTTTTCCCCCCACTTTCCTCTTTAGTAATTTTTAATTTTCTCTATAGTTGCTGATCTTTATCTCCCAGCCAAATTTTTCTTCTAATCAGCATATTTGTTGTTCCAGGTTTACTGCTTGAGAAGCTTGTGATTTTATATCTACCTGTTACTAAATCGCAGCAGGGAAACAAATATATAGAATTCCCTTGTGTTTCACGGACAAAGGTTTTTTTAGGGCATGTCTATTTTCAGGGATGTTTTATCTTACTCATCAAACTAAGGATCAAAGACACCGTGGTATGGGAATGTAGTCCTGCTGGCCATGGCCCAAAGAGTTTTGAGACACAGAATGAAATTCTAAAATTAGGCAAATGAATCTTTATTTGGATGTTTTCTCCCGCCTAAAAACTGCAGGTTCAGAGTTCTCCATAGCTTTGAGCTGGTCCCTTCAGCCCCTCTGTGAGAGCTGCAGTGGTGAGACGGGCACATGTCGAGTTAATGAGCATTGTGGGCATTAAAGCCACGTGCTTCCATAATTGTGCCTTCAGAAAAGAGAACGAGGATGGGAAATGACAGTCCAGGATAACAAATCTGCTCTGGTGCTCAGCTCGTGTTTGCTCAGTTGCACCTATTTACACACCAAAAATATTTCCATCCCTTCAGTCTGGGTTCTAAAGTCTTGGAGCAGAAAGCAGCCTCTCCAGTGATTTTTGTCGCTATTTTTAGGTATTCTCTGTGCTTCTGGGTAGCCAGTCTCAGGTTAGGGTGGAGAACTGTGCAGCTCAGGTGCTGCAGCTGTGCCGAGGGGGTGTGAGGGTGCCCAGCCTGGTGGCATCCTGGAGCATCCTCCGTCCGTGGGGCTCCTCCCTCTTGGCTGTTGGACGGCAAAAGCAGTGCTGTGGGTGGGCAAGGGGGGAATTTTCACAGGGTGTAAGAGCCCTGAAGGACTCTACCTTCTGAGGGCACTACAGAATCCTTTAGGTTGGAAAAGCCCTCCAGGATTATCAAGTCCCCCCTGTGCCCAATCCCCACCTCGTCCCCCAGCCCAGAGCACTGAGTGACATGTCCAGGCCTTCCTGGGACACCTCCAGGGTGGGGACTCCAAACCTCCCTGGGCAGCCCCTGCCAAGGCCTGACCATCCTTTCCAGAAGAAATTCTTCCTGATGCCCTGAACCTCCCATGGCACAGCTTGAGGCTTGTCCTCTTGTCCTGTCACTTGTTCCTTGGGAAAAAACACCAGCCCTACCTGGCTCCACCCTCCTGTCAGGTGGAAAGGAGGTAAAAATTCCACAACTCTGTCCTCCATCAGTTTTTTTCATTGCAAGAAATCTTACTCTCGTGAATTTTAGGATTTTCCTAAACTCTTAGTTTTCAGATCTGGGTTTTTTCTATAGGGAGCCACTGACAAGTGAAAAAGTCCCACCCACTCCCTATTGCAGGCAGCCAGGCTTTAAGCAATCCTTTGATTCTCCAGGGGGGGAAAATATCTAGTAGCAGTGAGTTATGCTTGAAACAAACCCCACTCTGGTGTTAAGACCTGCTGGAATCACTGGCACCTGCTATCATTGGAGTGCTGTTAAAATAGAGAATTATTTCTCTGTATCAGCAGACTGAGGCCGGGTTGGACAGGTCTTGGCACAGCCCGGGGTAGGGGAAGGTGTCCCTGCCCATGGCAGGGCGTGGAATGAGGAGAGCTTTAAGGTCCCTTCCCACCCAAACTAGTCTGGGATTCTGTGATTTTATGATTTTGCAGCAGAGTGGAAAGGATCATCTTTATGGAATTTAATGCCTGGCCTCTGCATGCTGTGATTTAACCTGCATAAAGATATTAAATCTTCATTTTTCCACTCTTCTCAGTTACATATGTGATTTTAAACAGTGCTGGGTCAGATTTGCCGGGCACTGATGGGCAACCTTTAGTTTGGATATTCATGAACCCCCAACCTCCCTTTGGTTTCAGAGTTAGTGATGCCTTTGCTGCCATGGTGCTGTGCCTGTGCAGGAAGTTACATCCTGCATAAACTGAATTTTTAAAGTTTTTTAGAAGTCTTGGCACCCAAATAAAACAACAAATCCGTATGGTGGGGGGGGTTCAGTGCCTTTCATCAGCAGTTTGTCACTCATGGGCAGCAATATAAAACAGTATAAAATTCTTCCAGTGGAATACAACCTTTATCAAGAGCTGTGGGCAAGCAAAAGCAGAGCTCTATTGTCCTGATAGGGTTGATTTTCAGAACTAATTAGATTTAGACACTGGGTTTGGAAAGGGGAGAGAAGTATTAGCATAGCCATGCCCAGTGGGACATGGCACAAATATTTCCTTAATTGAGGCTGCTAATAAACATACATCTGCCAAGTTAGGGGGGTAATTTACACCGAGTGGCAAAAGGTGAGGAGAGTTAACGTTATACAGGATGTAAATAACACAAACTGTGTGTCGTAAACATCTCACAGTGCGTGGCAGGGCACCTCAGCAGCTCCTGCTTGCCACCCTTTTGAAAGGGTGGAGGGTTATGAGGATGGTGCTTGAGCAGAAGAGATTTTTGCAAGAGGAAGGAGGGCGTGATGAAAAGGGAGCTGAACTGGGTTTGGGTGTTACTGGAGGCAGGCATGAGTAGCATTCCAGCTGGAACCACAGCCCTTGAAGGGGCCTTCAGGGGTGTTTGAAATGCACCACTGAGAATCTTCTGGGAAGTGTTTGCTGAGGGGGTGGCATCGCCCACCGGACGTGCGTGGTGAGTTACTGTTGATCAGCACCAGCACCCCCTGATGACAACTACCTTGGGCAAAGTCTGGTTGCCTTGGAAGCCAGAACATTTATTTATTTATTTATTTATTTCTATTTCTGATTCTGGCAAAATATTGCTGGGTTCCTATGAGAAACACCTTAAGCCTGGCGAGTCCTTGATTTATACCCATGAAAGTGGTTGGAGTTGATGATCTTGGAGGTCTTTTCCAACCTGAACGGTGCTATCATTTTATGATCCTGTGAAAGACAGGAATATTTTTTTGTTTAAAAGCTGACTTTTGGGATGGGTGTAATGGGTGTACTTTCTCACTGTACAGTGGCTGGCAGAGAAGAGCCCTTGCCTTCTGTTGACTTTCAGTGCTGAAAGGTTGGATCAGGTGATCCTTGACGTCCCTTCTGACCTGATACTCGATGATTTTGTGACTTTGAACTGTGCTTGTTCAAACACTGGTGCAAGGTGTCTGTGGCTATTTATACAGTTCTTAATATTGAGAATAAAATAGGTTGGAAGTGGGAATTGATATCAAAGTGATTCCTGCATGTTCTTTAGAACAGCTCTTGCCAGGTACCAAGAGGCGTCACCACTTCTGGACCCTCGTTTTCCCTACATTTTCATCAACTTAATTGAGTTCTCTGGAAGAAGTTATAGACTAATTGTATCCTGTGGTAATTTTCAGTGTAGTTTTCTAAATCTGATCTCTGTCACACACCACAGACACAGGCAGTGGGGCTGTGCCTAAGTGTTTATTTTCTCTTGCACAATCCTTTGCTTCTCAGAAATTGTCTCTGGTTTTCCAGAAGTGGGTGGGCTGTGGCAATGTCTGGCTTTTGGCAGAGCAAAACAAAATGTGAATTCAGGTTAAATGCAGTAACTTGACTATGGAAGGATGATGGTGAAAAGAGTACCATGGAATCCCAGACTGGTTTGGGTTGGAAGGGACCTCAAAGCTCATCCAGTCTCATCCCCTGCCATGGGCAGGGACACCTTCCACTATCCCAGGGTGCTCCAAGCCCCATCCAACCTGGCCTTGGACACTTCCAGGGATCCAGGGGCAGCCACAGCTTCTCTGGGCAACCTGTGCCAGGGCCTCCCCACCCTTATGTGCAGCATCACCAGTGGTATTGTGTAACTTTTTGGAAGTGCTGTGGTGGCTCTTGTGGTCTGGGGGTTTTCCTAAAATTCATGGAATGCACTCCCACTTCCACTAACAGAAAAACAATCCCTTATGCTTTAGGTTCCGTGTCATCACAGTCTCAGGGTTTTGGCTCATTTCCCATCCCAGCCACCCCTCCCACTCTAAAAAAAAGGCAAAACAAACAACAACAACAACATTTTAGATATCTCCTGTTGATAATAACTTCCAAATGGAAGTCAGTGGCAGCTGGTTCTTCGCACTTTAACCCTTCCTCTGCTGCCCTTCCAGGAAATAATTGATGACTGATTGGCCCATTAACCTTTTTTTTAAAAAAAAAAAAGTTTGACAGCCTGAACTTGTGTAATGAGGAGGGATTCCTGGTGAAATCAGGCTGATGGCTGAGTTGCTTGCCCCTGAGGATGCAGAATTAGCCCCGTGGGACCTCGTCTGCATAGAAACTGGACACAATTAGTGTAATATCCGGTGTTATTAATGTAGTTTGGAGTAATTGGGCAGGTTGATTTCGACAGGTTGATGGTGCTAAAATACTATTATAGTGGACCTTTCCATGACTAACTGTTAAACATGGAAAACTGTTTAATAAAATTTTGTGATTGGGCTCACAGGGATTTAAATAGCACAACCTATAATTTGACTGAAGAGTAAAACTGAACAATTTCATCCTGCTGCCTGGATTCTCCTGTTCCCGTGTGCAGTGGTTAAGGATGTACAGGTTTGCTCCCTGTCTTTTGTAGGCGTTGCCTGGGGGTGACATGGAGCAGGCAGTACTGCTTTTGTTTCACAGTGGAGCTTAGGAAAAACAAATTGGTGTGTTTAAGCAGGGAAGGCGTAGGGAAGGTGTGTTCAACTGGCTCAGCTTTTTAGGGACCGTGGAGTCCAACCATTAACACAGCACCACCATATTCACCAGTGAACCACGTCCCCAAGTGCCACACTCACGTGCCTTTCAAACACCTCCAAGGATGGGGACTCCACCACCTCCCTGGGCAGCCCCTGCCAAGGCCTCACCACCCTTTCCAGGGAGAAATTCCTCCTCATGTCCTACCTAACCCTCCCCTGGCACAGCTGGAGGCCATTCCCTCTCCTCCTGTCCCTTGTTCCCTGGGAGCAGAGCCCGACCCCCCCCAGCTCCCCCCTCCTGTCAGGGGGTTGCAGAGCCAGAAGGTCCCCCCTGAGCCTCCTTTTCTCCAGGCTGAGCCCCCCCAGCTCCCTCAACCACTCCTGCTGCTCCAACCCCTTCCCCAGCTCCGTTCCCTTCCCTGGACACACTCCAGGACCAGTATCTCACCTGGGCAAACCAGCTTCCTTTGCTTGATCACCATTATTCAGTGGGAGATCAGAGGGTTCAGTGTTGCTGCAGCTTGGTTGTGCATAACTCCTTCAAGGTTTGGAATCCTAATGCTGGGAAGTCGCCTCAAACTTAAAAGCAGGGTGGATTGGTGCAGGAGTGGTGCAGAGACACTCCAATATACACCATGTATGCTGTTGAGTGTTAGTTATATACCCTGTATTCAAATTGTTGCTCTTTGGGAGGTCAGCCTTACCAGTGCACTGGAGAAGTCCCTCTCATTGTCCTTTTCTGGGTCTCTGCATCCCTATAGTCTTGTGCCTGCGTAAAAAGGAGGAAGCGTGGGGAATTTTTACCTTAAGGTGGCAAAATGACCATTTTGACTAGCAGGCAGCTCCTGCAGCTTGTACCAGACCTTTGGCTTACAGGGGAGTGGCGTGGTGGGTGATCAGGTGTAGAAGAGCTTAACTGTGTGATCCTGCAGGAGACAGAGCACAGGACCGAACAGAATTTCATTTATGGTGCAGGTAGTTCCTCTTACATCTTCCTCAGGAACAGGAGAGCTCTGTTTGATAAATGAGGCTTTTCCCACGATTTATTCGTAACATTTTGGGTAATGATTCTACCTGTTTGTAACACAGTGTTGCTAAAATAGAAAAGTAGTTGTAGCTGTACAGCTGGATCATTAATGTTTGGCCCAAGGGAACGACATGGAGCTGTGTCGGGGGGATTTAGGCTGGATCTCAGGGAAAGGTTCTTCCCTCAGAGGGTGGTTGGGCACTGCCCAGGTTCCCCAGGGCAGTGGGCACAGCCCCAAGGCTGCCAGAGCTCCAGGAGGGTTTCGACAATGCCCTCAGGGACAGGGTGGGATTGTTGGGGTGTCCTGGGCAGGGCCAGGAGTTGGACCTTGTGGGTCCCTTTCAGCTCAAGATATTCTGTGATTCTATGATTTCTTTTCCCACTTATTCCACACACTGTGTTCTTAGTAAAACTGCTGCTTCAGGTGCTCTCCTGCACCTGAAAATAAGCTTCAACTCCATGTTTATTCCCACCTCAAGGTGCAAAGTAACCTTCTGCTAGCATGGAGTTTATCCAAGCAAACCCCACAGGTTGGGAAGATGACCGGCAGTGGCAGCAGTGCTGCCTTTAGAGCTCGTGCTGGATTTGTCCCTTGTCTGTGCCTGCCTGGGGATGAGAGGGAACAGGGTAGTTCGTGTCTCTGAATATATAATAAGTCATTACCAGACAAAATGCTCTTTCTAAAGCTCGTTATGGCTGATGTTCACCAGAGTTTTGTGCTCTTATTATTCTTTTCTTTCATGCTTCATGCGAGCCCTTCCCAATTCCACTTGCTCTGTTTTCAGCTTCCTTGATTTTTTAATTTGCCATTGGTGTCCCATGTGTAGGTAGAGTGTGTGTCCATTTATTGCAGTTCTGCTGGTATTTTCTTGTGCTGCTCCTCTGGCCTGAATACTTGTCCTTATCCTGCAGTAGCCCTAAGGATATTCCTCTGACCCTCTCTGCTGGCTGCTCAGATCATTTTCTCATCTCCCATATCGAACGTGAATGTTGAATAGGTTGAACTGATTTTAATCCTGTATTATATCCCAGTGATTATTATTATTATCCCAGTGTTTATGCTGTGGAGGAGAAAATGTACACATCTCTTTAATATATCTGTGCATGTAAAAACTGCTTGAAAGAAGAGGGTAAATTGTTAAATTTTCTGTATTGTCAGCTCTTTATAGTCCATTCTTCTTTTATTTTGTGGCACACTTTGATTTTTACATTATGTAGCTCTTAGCACCTCAGGTTTAAAACAAATAGTGCTTGTTGGCCACTTAATGTTTGAGAAAGGTACAGATTTGACACCAAACTCACAAACACACCCAGGAACTGAGTGTTTTCCCAAACCAGGGCTTTATCTACATAACATTTGAAGGGAAAAAGCAGCAGATCCACACATTGTTTCCTGGTGCCTTGTGCAGGGATCCAGGCTCAAACCTCAGCCCTGCATTTGTGTGGTCTGGAATCCCAGAATGGTTTGGGCTGGAAGGGACCTTAAAACCCATCTCGTTCCACCCCCTGCCATGGGCAAGGACACCTTCCACTGGCCCAGGTTGCTCCAACCTGGCCTTGGACACTTCCAGGGATGGGGCAGCCACAGCTTCTCTGGACAACCTGTGCCAGGGCCTCCCCACCCTCACAGGGAACAATTCCTTCCCAATATCCCACCTAACCCTGCCCTCTTTCAGCTTAAAGCTGTTATGTTATATTGCAGAAATTCTCATCAACCAAGATTGTTTAAGCTAATTGTCAATATCCTTAACTCAGTCTCTTCTTCCTATTGTGATTTTTTTGTTCAGAACAAGAAGAAAACTTTGAGTTTATCATCGTGTCTCTCACCGGCCAGACTTGGCACTTTGAAGCCACCACGTATGAGGAAAGGGACGCCTGGGTCCAAGCCATAGAGAGTCAGATCTTGGCCAGTTTACAGTCGTGTGAGAGCAGCAAGAACAAGGTATGGTGCACAGAGTAACACTGACAATAACTGAGGGATGAAAGCCAAATCAAGAACTCTGCATTTTAAACCTGTACTCCTGGAGGAATGTGTGCGTTACACCCACAGCAGAGTTGGGGCTTCCTGGGGCAAACATGGCCTAAGAGGAGCAGGTTTCCACCTTGAAATGCTTTTGTATGATGGCAGGAGGGATTAGTTCTCCTTTCCTGGCAAAATAAATGTTTAAAATCTGAGACATCTTCAGCCAGTGCTCATGTTTGGGAGAACATCTTAAGTCAATGTGTCTGCAAACACTTCACAGTTAGAGTGCAAGGTGCTGAGTGGTGGTTGAGGGAGAGAAATGGGCAATAACTGTAAAATAAAGACTTGTAGATCCTTTAATATTACCCACCTAACAGTTGTCTTTCATGATTTTATATTGCAAGGAGGAAACTCATATTTTGAATTTAATGCCTACTTTCCTTGCCCTGAGGTACCAGAGTAGATCAAACACCAGTCATTACCATCACCACAGTATAATTTACTTCCCATTTTCTTTTAAAAAGTGTATTTATTTCCAATATGCATTACTGAGGTGGAGGAAAATCACAGTGTACATGTTTTCTTGCTTTTTGTGGATTCACACATTCTGATGTGTGTTAGGGGAGCACAGAACAGGAAGTTTGCACCTTAACACCTACACAGAAATATTGATACAAAAGAGGATAAAGAGTGACTGGTAAGTGGCTCGGAGAGGTTCTCAAAACATGTCAGAAGAGCTGGCTGGAACAGCAAAGGGCAGGTTTAGGAGGTGACCCATGGAGAAGGTATTTCCACCTGCAAGACCTGGTCCTTGTCCTGCTTGAATCACTTTGTCTCAAAGAGTCCAGCCCTTGGTGCAGGTCACAGTTGGCTTCTCAGAGAGCCCTCCAGACACTTCAGCTGGGTAGAGCTGAACTGCTGAACAACTGTGTGTTGTGACAGCCTCCTCAGGTCCAGGTAGAGGTCACGGGCAGGTCATCGTGGAGAGAATTCAAATGGGAGCCATCAGGTGAAATCTTGACCTTTTCATGATAAAAAGGTTTCAGCTGCTTTTGCAAACCACCCCTTAGTCTTCATTAGCAAGAGCATGCACATCAATAAAAGAAATTGATCTCAGGAAATACTGTTCTTATTTATCTCCAGGAGCAAACCTGCACTGTGACTGCTGTTCTTGGGAAGGGGGCTCATTTCCACGCTCAGTTTTCCTCTGTGCTGTCTCCCCACTTGTTAGAATCCAGGCTGGAGCCCCCAGAAGCCTTGGAGGTGCCAAAAGATCACTATTTCTTGCGAGGCAAACCCAAGACTTGAGGTTTCTTGCTCCCATTCCTTCGCCCTTGCTCTGCCCTGTGGGTTTGCTGCCGTTGTTCCTGCTCCCTGTGCCGGGTCCTGGTTGCTGACGCCTTCCCTTCCCTCCGCAGTCCCGCCTGACCAGCCAGAACGAGGCCATGGCCCTGCAGTCCATCAGGAACATCAGAGGCAATTCCCACTGCGTGGACTGTGAAGCACAGAGTAAGTACAGCCACTCACTTGAGCAGACTGACCTCTTTTCCTTGACCAAGACTCTCCTTGGCCCAGACTCGTGTGAACACCCACCAGAGGCTTTGTCTTTTCCTGTATTACATCCCAGATACTGTTTGCACATTCCTTCTTCATTATGGAGTTTGCTTAATCAGACTTATTTGATGTTAATTTATAGCTCATATATGCTGCATCAGATGCATCCTAATTTTTTCCCCTTGTTTCACATGCCACTTTAAATGTCAGCATTTCTGTACTTTCCTTTGAGTATAAAGAAAAAAGTTTGCTTTTTGACATCAGTTACTTCCATTTTCCTCCTTTGAGGGCACATGTGCCATGGTAATATTTTCAAAGAGGCAGAGCTTGATTGGTCTTCCTTTGGTTTGGTTTTTAGGGTTACTTGTCAGAAGAAACCAAAGTCATTGCTCATTATATCTGGATACTAGAAAACTGATTTGAGATTATTTTCTTCTTCCCCTTTGTGTTTCTTTCTCTTTTTTTTATTTTCTAAAACATATACTTAGTGTTCAGAAGAGTGTTCTTGAGAATACTTTGAGCTGTGGTTCACCTCACTAACCCTGGCTCAGGTCATTATTCTGGTGCTCTTTAGTTCCAGGGGTTTGCAACAAAGCCACAAAAAGGAAGTTCTCTTGCTCTAAAGCAATTAGTTGTGGGAGCTGAAGGATTGAGAACTTGTGCATTTTTATTTCTTTGATATTTGGAAGTGAGAACTTTTCTTGCAATTTTTGCACATGTTTAAAATGGAAAAATATTCATTTATTTGGGTATATATATATATGTATGTATTTTGTTAAGATTTGCTGTTTAGGGTTTTGCCTACTGGTCTAAGCCATTCTAAGACATCCCAGTTTAAAATGGACATTCATACCATACCAAGTGCTTTTACACAGTTTGGTCTTTATGTTCCACTCAAGGTGACCCAGCTCATGATAAACAAGGGACAGTGTTGGCTTGGCTGATATTTTAACACCCACAGCCCAAAGCCACTCTTATTTATCAGTGTTCTTTCACACAGGTCTGGTGGTCATTGAGATTTCCACCAGGGCTTTGATGTAGTGCAGGTAGAAGGCAGGTGAGGTGGTGGAGGAGAGGGATGGAGTCTGTGAGTGACCTACATGTATATTTAGCTCATTTGAAATACTCCCTGCTGCCTGTGAGCAGAGCAGGGGGGCAGTGGAGCTCATTCCTGCTCCAGACTGACTGTTCAGCTGTGGGTGGCATTTTCCTAGACCCTACTAACTAGATATATAATATTTTATATTTATATATTTTATAGCTATATATGTTTCTAATATAAATATGTTGTAAATAATATTTCTGATAATTTTATGTTGACTATATATTTATATTTTATAAATATGTACATATGGGGGTTATAATTTATATATCTAACGTGCAGTCCCTTCACTGCAGACAACTTCCCACACCCACACACATCCTCCTGATGCATCTGTGATCCATCTCAGCTCTGCCCAGAATCCAGCTATCCCCAGTCAGGCACATATCCCAGGATTTATGCAGCCAGGCTGGATGTTTAATCAGGAAAATGACTGTGTAAGGAAGCAGCACTGGTTTTTTTTTTTTCATTTTTCTCTTTGTCCCCCTTGCAACCAGACTGGGTCTCAGCCAGGTTCTTCGTGGGCCAGGCTGGCCACCCGTGCGTGGTGCCAGCAGGAGGGACGTGCCAGGAACACGTTGTAGGGAGAGGGCAGGGTGGCACAGCCCATTTTGGCAATGCTCTGTGGTGCAGCTTTTGAAGGGGGATGATTTTGGAATCCTCACTGGAACTGTTTGTGTTCTTAGAGATGATTTACACCCTCATCTTGCCCCTTGACCTTCCTGATTTTAAGGCCACGGTCGTTCCTTTGGAAAAATGTGAGATATTTCCAAAGCAATGTATTTTAAAATGTAAACACACACACAGAGGAGGTGAACCTCAGCCTGCAGCTTTTTCTGCAGGGCTTTGCTTTATTCCCTTTTCTCCCTTCCTGCCCTGCCTGGCAGGTCCTCACCCCCAAAAGCCCCAGCTCTCCCGTGGAACACTTACACAGTTTGCATCTCCACAGAGCCAGATGTTTGGGAGCAAAGGAATATGAGATGTTGCCATCTCTCAGCTCTGTTCAAGAGCCATCAATCTTCCACTTCAGAATTCTCATTCTTCCTCTTTCTAGAGCTCTTTGCCTTTTTAGCACTTTGTGCAGCACTTTGTTTCCCCGGGGAGTTTCTGCCTTGTTGGATGTTATTCCAGCAGCAGCTGTGTGCTGCCAGCACCCCAGCCCTTTGGCAGCTTCCAGCTAAAGTTAGTCAAAGTTCTTATTTCTAACATTCCCATCCTAGAGCAAGAGGTGAGGCTAAGTGCTCTTTAGGTGCTGGAGTTTTTGCCCAGGATCTGATTTCATATTTCAGAAGCAAACTGGCGGTTCCTTTTCCCAGAGCACTCTCTCTGTCTAGAGAAGCCACTGAAGGGAATTAAATTGCTTAGGCAAACCCAGCTAAATTTGCTGGATTTTGGCTCTTCCAGTCTTACAAAGATGAGACGATAAATATGAGCCACTCTTTTGAGGTGTCTGGAAAACATGGAACATCAGGTCTTTGCTGCTGCAGAGGAAAATAGGGAGGGCTTAAAAACAGAGTCTCATCGTGAGTTTTCCAGCCCAGGAGTCTCATCGCTTACTCTGGGGTATTTTGTATTTGAGAGCCAAACCCCAAGGTAATAATCTGGACAATCCTGTCCTACCCATCACAAGATACAGTTTTATGTGCAGAACAGGGGAAAACCCAAACCTCTCAAGGAATAGGAAAGTTACAGACTTTTCTCTCTCTGCTGTGACTTGAGATGCCTTCACCCCTGCTGCTTCTTTCCCTGGCTTGTCTGCTCCTCCTTTCAGGGATTCCCTCTGCTCAGCCCATCTGACACCTGCTGAACTCAGATTTAGCATGGCAAAGCCTTTCCTGGGATCCAGAGGGGTGAAGGAGAGAGTGGGAGGGGTTATTCTCCCAAAAGAGCTTTCGCCTGCAAATGATCACTGTGACTGAGGTGCAAGGCACAGTGGGGAGGAGGCTTTTAGGGAAGGAGAGAGCCAAACATTTTGGAGAATATGGATAGCTGAATGTTGTTGGCTGGATATATTCAGTGATGCTAAAACCCTCATATTTTGATTGACAAATTGTGAATAAGTAAAAGAGGGGAAAGTAGCTTTATAACAGGTCTGGCTGCACTGAGGGGGCTTTTCCTTCCTTTTACCATCAAACCTGGGTGTCCATCCTGGAGCAGAGCCTGCCCTGTGCTTGTAAGTATTGTGAGCATCCTCCAGTTCAGAATTACTCTTGGCATCAGCAGGAAAAGGATTTGGTTTTGTATCATCTTCTTAAAAGAAAAAAACCCATGTTGAATAGTTAGAGCTTGTTAACCATGTGTGGATTCTTTGGTATGAATTGGTGAGAACAGTTTCACTTCTGTAACAAATTCAATCCTTGCCTTTCCCCATTTGCCACCTTCACACTCAGCTGTGTGTTGTCAGATTGTTGAAATTTAGAACAGTGTCTGGGTGACATTTCTTGGTTATGGCTTTGGGGACTCCTTCAGTGCTGCCAGCTGGGAGGACCCTTCCAACCCAAACCATTCTGTGATGCCCTGAAGTAGGTGAATATTTAGAGAATTTATTCAGTACAAAATACACTGGATATGCTTCAAGCTGACAGGTATTTGGGAGGGAGGTCAGGTCCTTAACATCAGTTCTGTCAGAATAATTGGAATAATATAAACCACTATTTTATTCTCTTGCTTCATTCTGAGTTCATGCCTCTTAGAGCTCATTGCACTTCTGATTTTTGTGAGGATAACCCTGACCCTTGTAGGTCAGGGATTTCATTCTGAGTCACAGGTTGCAAATTTTAAATTATTATCTGCAGTGTTTAAGTTTATACCAACAAATTGCTGTTTTTTCAGATTGTTTTCCCCATTGGCAAAACAACACTGGAGGTGATCTGAAGAATTATGCAGGAAAGGACTTAGTCCTGGTTGTCACACCAAAAGCTTAGAAAGCATGGCAGGAGTTCAGTCTCACCTTATACTTTGGAGACGTGGAATGATGTATGTGTATGATATATATGTTATATTATCTGTAGTATGAGACTTGTTATGGGCAGAACAAAAGATGTGTTTTTCTGCTCAGGTGGAATAAGATGGGGGATTTTTCTTGTTGGGAATGTTTTTGGATTTCTGTGGACTGACTGAAAAATGTCAGTCAATGAATCAAAGTCCCACAGTGAAATGTGGGACTTTTCAATTAAAATTACCTGCTTTCCCTTCCTGTTTTTTGTCCAAACATGACATGGCAAAGAACTACAAAACATTTTGTTTCCATGTATTTTGGCTGCCAAAAATAACTTTTCAGTTTTGGGTTGCACAAAGTTAAAATGAGTCTTTGGATTAAATATTTCTGGAAGGAAGGTAATGCTGGAAATTCATTTTCTGTCAGCTCTAAATTTTATTTAGATGGGTGTAAGAATTGCCTGCCCTCTTAGTTAATTACCATTTTCCTGCTTGGCATTTGGGATAGTCCTTTGGGATGCACAGGCATGAAGAGAAGATCTGACAGCAGGGGAGAGAAAAAAAAAACAACAAACATTCCTCTCATATGTCTTCAGTTGCATTTGTGAAAGTGAGTGTTTGTTGGAGAGAGGGTGATTCCTACAAATCTGGATTAAAATCACACAGGGCAGTGGCAAAAGAGTTGAACCATGCTGGGAAATGGAATTTCCCATCTTGCCTCAGGTTTGTCCCAGCCCTGTTGTTTGTGGGGTTATTCTAGGTGAGTGGAATCCTTCTGGCTCAAACACTAAAACTGGGGCTGTTCCAAGTGTCCCATTTCCATCTTAGTGCTGATCTTGGAGATGGAAACACCCCCCAGAGTGTGTCAGGGGTAAGAGCCATGTACGGCTGATGATAGGTGGGTGTTGAGGCAGTTGATGTGATTGGCAAGAGAGAATTTTGTTGTTGTTGTTCCTTATTTATTTTTTTTGTTGAGTTTTTTGTTCTTTTTTTTTTTTTTCTCTTTTTCCCCTTGTAATTGGTTCTGAGCAGCTCAGGATGCCCAGGGAAGGCCTTTCTCCACTGCTTCACCACCTGCTGCCCATCACTGCACTTATATTTTGTTTCTCCTTTTCTCTCTAATTCGTAGTTTTTCTTTTGACTGGAGGTGGAGTGATACATCTTTTGAGACACCCCACTTTTTGTTTTGTTTACTCCTTGAGGGTTTCTCAGAAGGGTTGGGATCTCCACTGGCATCTCCACTGACCCTACTCCAGCCCTCCCAGCTGCGCTTTCAGACAAGACACCCCTGGAGCCAAGCTCTTTATCCACAAGCAGCGTTCTGTTGGCTGTTTCACTGTCCTGATGGCTCGTGTCCCTCCTCCTGCAGACCCTGACTGGGCCAGCCTGAACCTGGGAGCCCTCATCTGCATCGAATGCTCAGGTATCCACCGCAACCTCGGCACACACCTGTCCCGGGTGCGCTCCCTGGACCTGGACGACTGGCCCATCGAGCTCATCAAGGTGATGTCGGCCATCGGCAACGAGCTGGCCAACAGTGTGTGGGAGGAGAACAGCCAAGGCCACATGAAGCCCTCATCAGACTCCTCGAGGTGGGTTTGCTCGGCCCGTCTCGCCCTGGCGCGCGGCGGGCAGGGGGGGTGGGGGATGATGATGCTGTTTTTTAAACTCTCCCTCGCCATGTGCCTTGTACAAATCCTGAGTTATATCTTTGCTGAGTGCCCAGGAAGAGCAGGTGTCCGAGTGGGGGTGTCAGAAGTCGAGTGACCCCGTTACTTTTTCCCTCTTGTGGAGGTTTCCTCAGCAGCTCAGCAATGTTTTTGTTCATCAGTGGGAGATGGAAACCTCCCGCCTGGCTCTTCCTCAGCCTAAATTACCCTGCCCTGTGTCTCTTTGTCTCGCTCGGCCACAAAGTTCCTGGCTCTTGGACTGTCACTTTATGATTAATAATCTGCCTTCAGAAGTTCAAGCTCACTCAGGAATTTGTACCTGGCTGTCAGGTCTCTGGGTTCTCCTCACAGATGTTCAAAGTCCTGCTCACTATGGACTTGATTACTACTTTTTATGTGATGTATGTGAAACCATGAGCTGGTGGAGGGGTTGTTTCCTGTGAGAACAGCATTTTACCTACGTCCTGTAGCTCCACACAGTGAAAAATCTGTCCGTGATCTATTGTCCTACCAAAACCTAAAGGTTTTTGTGCTTAATTTATTTGCTCAGTGTCAAAGAAAGATGTTTTGGAAATGCTTTGGTGGTTTCAGTAGATTTGAGGTGGCTGGCTCTAACATACTGGCTCAGGGGAAGCAGTGGCAGGGGGTTCAGGCAGGACAAAGACCTGCTGGGCCAGCCTGCACAGCTGGGCCAGGCTCTGCAGTTGGCTTCAGAAGGCTGTGACGGGGGTCTGAGCAGGAGCTCTGGGGGGCTCCATCCCAGGATGGAGGTTCAGCTCTCGGTGTTGCCTCCTGCACACGGGAGAACTCGGCGGGAATTCTGTGTTGGCTTTGTCCACATGTATCCCAGGATCCTGCTTTTCCCAGGTGAAATGGCAGGTGAGCCTGGGCCCCCTCCCATGGTGCAGGAGTGGGTTTGTACTGTTGTGTGTGATCAAGTCAACTCTTTCTTGTTGCCTTCTTTCGTTAGCCCTGAAAAATGAATTTGTGGTGCCACCTTTGGTTCATCTTCGAGAATGAAGCCACTACATTAATCAGGCTACTTAGATGAATCACTGCATATAGAAGTGCTCAGGGAGACCTAAGGAGAGGGTTTGTTCAGACGTAAAGGGGATTCCTGCTGTAGATGTGTGTTTTATTAGACAGGTAACATAATGATTTCATCAGGTACAGTGTAATCTAGAGTTCTCATATTCTTGCATCTGACAAATACATGTTGCTCCTTACTGTTGAGAGGAGCTGGAGAGATGCCTCAGTTCTAAATACTTGCAAGGAAAAGGCTTACGCTCAATTGATATTTTATTTTAAAAAAGAAGGATTGCATTATTTTAGTAGTCATGTAATAAACATCATGAAAAATCTAAAATCCGTGTGACTGTGATAAAAAGAGCACCATCCATTTGAATTAAGTAATTCATTTGGGATTGAGTTTTACTTATAGAAAATCAACTTTATTCTCTTTGTATTTTATGCTCAGGGCTTATTTTAATTCTCCTGCTTTGTTTCTGTACATCTTCGTGGTTATATTCAGCTGCTTCTGATTGTCTCCGACACCATTGCACTTTCTTTCCTGCACTGTAACATTTTGGGACAAAAAGATTCATTTTATAAATAGGAATTTCCAGCTCTGTGTTCAAGTGCACAGTTGTGTGATGGAAGAGGTGCTAGAAAAAGTAGAATTAAGATGATGTGAAAATTTTCCCACAAAGCAATTGTAATCTTGCTTTGCTGCTTCCATCCTTCTGCTGTTTGCAGCAGGGACTGAAATGAGATTTTTCACATAAATACCACAAAGCTCTGCTTCTTCCAAGTGTGTGCCTCCTTTTGTGCTTTACTTTGGTCTCTGCCAGCATCACAGTCCTTCTGTCTGAGCTGTGGCAAGAAAGTAAGTTCAAGTTGTTCGGGTAGAAGTTGTGTGTGCTGTTTTCTCAGTGCTGTTTGGAGTTTGGCATGAGGAATCCCATTGGAAGCAGCTAAAATGGACCTGAAAGGAGGGTTAAACAACCCCTCTTTTTTTGTTGTTGGGGATTGAAGGGGAGAGAGGCAACTGAAGCTGAGGGACTGGGGGAAGAGGCAAGAAAGTAAGTGAGAAGAAATAATTTGGGGAGCTGAGATTTGGAGTTCCAGTGGAGAAGGGACAGAGGGAGACCAAGGATGTTTGGAGATCAGGGAAGACAGAAGCGTTTAGCAAAGCCCCTTCTGAAGGGGAAGAAAGCTGAGAGCTGGTGCTGGGGGGCTCCAAGAGAACTGGGGAGGGACTTTGGACAAGTCCTGGAGTGACAGGACCCAGGGAATGGCTTCCCACTGCCAGAGGGCAGGGTTAGATGGGATATTGGGAAGGAATTCTTGGCTGGGAGGGTGGGGAGGCCCTGGCACAGGTTGCCCAGAGAA